TGACTTTCCTTCCTTCTGCACTAGCCTTGGTTTAGTCTCAGAGTTCCCACCCCAGCTACCCACCCCACCCTCTCTACCGCTAGTCTCCCCTTCTTATCCCTCCTCCTCTCCCCCAAACACACACACACACACACACACACACACACCCTGCTGGGCCTTGGGCAGACTGGAGCCAGAGATCAAGGAATGGTATTCTCTGAGGTTTATGGTTTGGGTCCTGGATTTCAGTCTCTCCTCACTTTTCTAAAAGCTATCAGCAGGTTTCCCTTGAGCAGCCAGTTTCCCTCGCACCTTCTGGCCCTGGCACTTTGCTAGGAATGTTCCCTGTGTTGCTGGCTTTTTAGGGTGGAAGATGACTGCTTCATATTTTTGAGAGGGTTTCATGCTGACTGCGAACTGTCAAGTGTTCCTAAGCTTCCTGAACTGCCCAGCATTCTCGAATCCTCCATGGCACTGGGCTTGTGTCTTGCTTAACTGTGTTGGGGAGCTTGAAGATGGCTTCTTTTCTCACCTTAGAATGCTTTAGTTCCTCAAGGGAGGGGCTGGCTGTATGGCTCACTGGTGCCCTCACTTGGGGGTGAGGGCAGCAGAGGCTTGATAAATATTTCTGAATTTGTGCTAGGAATTTCCAGTTATCCACATCAATCCAGATGTGAAATAGACTGGCTGGGAGAGCTGAGTGATGACTGGCTAGGGCAAAAGAGGGGTGGGAGCAGGGAAGAAAGAGGGAGGGGGCATAAGGAGGGAAACAACCAGGAGGGTGGGCTATTGAGATGGAAACTACCTTTCTATCCAGGGGGAAGGGCTGCAGTAACTGATGTTCAAACATTGTCAACATGGCAACCCATGACGTCAAGAAAGAGCTGGGGAGGGTGCAGTGGGGTATGCTGGCAAGGGCCACATCAAACCAGGAATACTTGCTTTGGTCCAGACTCAGCCTCAAATTAATTGTGTGACTTTAGGCACAGCCCTCCCCTGATCTGAGCCTCAGTTTCTCCATTTGTAAGGTGAAAAAGAGGGCTGATTTTGTGAAAAAAAAAACATCCATGGCCCTTCTCCTATTCCCTTCTCTCCTCCCAGCTAGCTGAATGAACATCCTCAGTGGGGGCAGGGGTTGCAGAAATTCAGCTCCATCTTGGACCATCACGTCTAATAAGGGATGTGAAAATTCCCATGGAATGATTCCACTAGTCCAGTACATGAGTGTTTTTCAGGTTTTGTTTTTTCTTGCCCTGAAAATGGGTTTAATGGCTGAGGAAAAGTATGCCTTGTCAGCAGCTCCTTAACCCCAAGGATCCCAGGATGAGAGTGTTTTTGTTTGTTTGTTTACTGCTAAATATAATTGTAGAATTACAGCAACATCAAGTCCCTCTAATATCATTTTCATTGCAGACTAGTGTATGAACAGGGGGGCTTTGGTGACCCCTGGCTTTGGCTTATTTGCCTCCTAAACCTCAGATTCTTTGTTTTTGGCTTCAGACATCAGGGAGGGGCTGCTGCAGGTTCTTGGATAGTCTTGGCTGGCATTGTGAATCCTGATTGTGCTATATTCCTGGCCACGTCACTTATTTTAGGGAGTCTCAAGCCCCTATTCTCCCTCCTCCCCTCCCAAAGTGGTTGGTATTATTTATTTGGGGGACTAGGGGAAAACCTCAGGGAAAGGGGACATCTCTGGATGTGGTATTTAGAAATGGAAACTATTTTTTCCTAAGCCCAGTTCTCCCCTGGCCCACAATGGGAATTAGCCACTTTGTTCATGAGAAACGGCATAGACGTGGCACATCTGTACACCAGTTAAGCCATTTTAAGAGCTTGAAATAGTATAGGAAAATTCATTTTGCTGTTCAAATTGGCAGTCCCTTGGTCTGCAGTACAGAGGCCATGCCCACATCTTCTGCCCTGTTAACCCCTTATTTTAGGAAACAAGTTTCCTTATGGCTTTTTAAAAACTAAAATAATTTTGTAGGTATAATATACAAATATAAAAATATAGAAATCTGAGCAAACAGCTCAGTGCATATTCACAAAGTAAACATGCTATTGTAACCCCCACTAGACCAGGGAATAGAACATTCCAGTCACTTTCACCCCCTCCCCCTACAACCCTCACTACATGCCTCCCCACCAGTCCACTCCTCCCCAAATGAAACCACTCTCCTGCTTTCTAGTATCACAGATCAGTTTTCCTCATAGCTTGTCAAAAAGCTTTTTATTATATTTTTTCATACATATGTAAAAGTAGAGGGAACAGTAGAGTGAATCTCCTTGTATCCATTAATTATCAACTCATGGCCACTCTTATTTTCTCTATGCCCAACAAACTCTCCACTTCCAGCTTAAATTATTTTAAAACAAGTCTAAGTCATTATATCATTTTATATGTAATCATTTTAGTATGTATTTCTAGTCATAAGGCCCTCAAAAACATAATAAAATACAATGATTACACCAAAAAATTTAGAATTTCTTCATGCTGAAGAAAATATCTAGCCAGTGTTCAGATCACCCCTATTTTGTCAGAAATTTTTTTTGTTTTGTTTTTTAGTTTGCCTGTTAAAATCAGGGTCTGAATAAGGTCCATAAATTATTTTTATTAGCATTTTTATTTTTCAAAACTTCGTATTGCATTAGAACGTGTATTCACAAAAGTGCTCAAATCGTAAGTGTACAGCTGATGAGTTGTCAGAAAATTGCCACACTGATATCAAGACACCCACATTAGGACCTAGAACATGACCAGTACCTTAGAAGACCCTTGGTACCCCCTTCCTCACTGCCTCTTAGCAAGATAGCATAACCTTGACTAAATAAATATATTGGCAGGTGGCTTTTAACATTTTTGTTTTTTTAAATTTAATTATTCTTCTCTTTAGTTTTTTGGCTATGGTGCATGGCTGTGGCTCTCAGGGTGGATTTCTGTTGGCCATCTATTTCCTGGATTACAGTCTTTGGGTGAAGGACTCCTGCCTTTTCTCAATGCTTAGAGTTTCCTCCAACCCCCAGCCTCCAACTCCAATGCAATGAGTATCATGAAAGCAAAGAAATGCAGACTATTCCCACAGCATTCCAGCCCTCTCTGGGAGAGGTTTCTCTGGCTTTCCTGAGAATTCCTCAGGGGTCCTGCCCCTCTGCCTGCCCATTTGCTCCTGGATGGTGTTGGTCAGGCAGACTGGAGACCAAGCCTAGCAACTGCAGCTGATTGGCTAGAGCTCATACACCAGTGCCTTCACCATTTTCATTGAAAAAATATTTTAAAATATTGAGCTCGGTTTTCATATTGATTTTTTAAAAATAAAGAATGATCATAAAAAAGTGATAGCATGGAAAATTCCCAAAGACCAGCAAGATTTAGAAGAAATAAATAAGTATAATCTGTAACTGGCTCATAATTTACTGTTGCTAGTCACTCTTTATGCCTTAGGTTGCAGATTATTTTGGTTTGCTTCTGTCCAGAGAGGTACCAACTGGGGCCTCTACAGATTGGAGGGCAGAGTTTAATTTTTTGTTTGTGTATTCTAGGATTGAAGGAACTCATGTTGAATCAGAGATGGGAGCATGTGCTCATCATGATGATGTCTATGGCCCCAAGCCCCAGTATCCCAAAAAGAAACTCCCCTCTGAAGAAATAAAGCCCACTGCTATTAATACCCACCGTGACCTTGGAAAACTGCCAGCAGCCACTCAAATCCTGGACAGTATCCTCAATAACTCTGATTACAAACTGCGCCCCGGCGTTGGTGGTAAGTAGTAGAACATAGTTCTTCCTCCCAGAGGGGAGAGAGTTTGAGGGCATAAGTATAGAGAATAAGCCTGGGGTGTTGGTGAGGGTGCCATACATGTGGGCAGGAACATCTGTTGCTCACCTCTTAGGTGAGCTCAGCAATGCCATTTACCTTGGTCTAGACTTTTTCCTTCTCTCATCCTGTTTTCCCAGCTATAAAATGAGATAACTGGACTAGGTGATATGATATTGGAGGTATGTATAACTCTTACAGTCTATGAATTGGTTCTTGCCATGTAAGAACAAAGAAAGGGAAAGGATTGGATGTTGCAACCATTTAGTCTAACCCTGATCCTTCTCCCTTTTTCTGCCTTCAGACCACACCCTTCCCTGCCACATGCCCCTGTAGAAAACTTACCTCTGCTACTTCTGCTTCCTTTACAGAGAAGCCCACTGTGGTCACTGTTGAGCTCTCGGTCAACACCCTTGGTCCTATCTCTATCCCAGACATGGTGAGTACTGAGCTTTGATACAGTATCTTCTAAGTTAGGGAGTTGATCCATGAGGCATTTCACATACTTAGTTTTTCTGCTCTGTGTGTCTGTAATGCAAGTTTAAGGTTGGGGGGAGAGATTTTAACAAACACTGACTTGAAAAGGAGTCTGGGAAAGGTAAGTAAGTACCTCACTGCCTGAAGAGGACCTTCAGAATCCTGACTACATCTTCCAGTCTTTCATTCAAAATAATAATAATAAAGCAACTTTAAATACCACAATGGAATGTCTTTTTTATTCTGATAATGATTTTTATGGACTTAATACTATAGTTAGTAACTCTTGTTCTAAGAATGTTTTTCTAATTTTTCCCTGGTTCCTTCTCTCCTTTTCTACTGTTATCATTCTAGTGTAGGTTCTATCTCCAGTTATCCTTCATTATCTCCCACTTGAAGAACACAAAATTCAAGGTTTCTGTCTACCCCAGTCCACATACCAACCTGGCCTCCTGAGTCATGTGTCTCCTACAATTCTGACCCTGCTTAAAGCATGAAGTTTAAACCCATACTCTAGCAGTCAAAGTCCTCCATGGCTGGAGCCAACTCAGGACTCTGGTTTTATGTCTTTTAGCCCCTCTACTCACAGTAGACTATGAGTGTTCACAAACTATCTTGTGTCTCTGAGTTGTTCAAGATATACCATTGCTCCCATTTTCTCTTTGTCATGAGCCTTATCCTTCAGGGTCTAGCTCAAATAACATTTTCATGGTATTATTCCTGACCTCCACAGCTACTTATTGCTCCCTTCTTACACCATAGCCTTTTCTTTAACACACAGATCTTTCTTGCTTATATCCCAGTTGTTTACTTGACCTTCCCTACCTCATAGTATAATTATGTGCTCTATGTCTGCCTTGCTCCCTCAACTATGGGCTTCTTAATGTCAAGGACTCAGTATATGTTAGCTGAACAAGTGAATTATGAAAGATATTCTGCACAAGTCACCTTAATCTACCCAGCCTGATAATGAGAAAGGCTGTGGTAACAAATTCCATTGTAGCCATAGCCTTGGATTGAACTCAGGCAAGACACAGTTTTCGTGTGTCTGGTATCCTACAAGCATCATTGGGTGAGCTCAGAGTCCAGGCTTTGAGATGGGATTTGCAAATAGGCACTCAGATAAGTAAACATTCATGGTAGATCAAGATGTTTATATAAGCTGAGTGGAAGAATGAGATTCCCCCTTATGATGCTTTGGCTACCAGGTTCTTGAGGCATGGTGTACTTATGTATTACTGTGTAACAAACTACCCCAAAACACAGAATCTTAAAACAACAAATAGTCATTAGTTCACAGATTATGTGGGCTAGGAATCTGGACATGATAACATTGAGCAAGAGCACAGAATGGATTGTGGAGGGGAAGGTTTCTCCTTATTACCAAGCACTTCATATGGCCTGAGAACGAATGAGGCTGTGCAAACCAAGTTGGAGCTGTCAGCCATTTGGGACTGAAGAAACACTCTGAAGGCCACTTGTGAGGGCTGGATGGAGGAGCCTGGTGGGTCAGGGCTGAGGGCACCCAAGTGAATGGTATCCAGGCTCTGTCATCTTTTTTCTGTCTGCTTCTGCTTCTCTGGACTACTGCATGGAATATTCTGTCTGGGAGGCTGGATCCCAGCAGTTCTCACCAACTTTTGGGGTAGGCAGCAAAGGCAAGTAGGGATTATCTTGACCTTCCCCAGTGCAGGTTCTACTGGTGTCCAGGGTTATGAGTGGCTGGTTGGTGTTCATTGTTTGATGTAGGATAACTCAGGGTAAAGACCTATGTATTCTGCAGAGGGAAATTGGATCTCAGTACCCAAAGGGATTGTTGGTGTAAGTGAAATAAACATGGGAGAGGGAAATCAGTGAAGCTCCTCCCAGGACAAGGCTATGGTAATGGTGCTCTGAGCACCGTTGTTAACTATTTGTGTGACTTTGGACAGGCTCCTTCCTTTCTGAGCCTCAGTTTCCATACCTGTAAAGTAAAGGCAGTTGAGCTAGCCTTCAAGAGTCTACCTTGGCCGAAACCGGTTTGGCTCAGTGGATAGAGCGTTGGCCTGAGGACTGAAGGGTCCCAGGTTCGATTCCGGTCAAGGGCATGTACCTGGGTTGCGGGCACATCCCCAGTAGGAGATGTGCAGGAGGCAGCTGATCGATGTTTCTCTCTCATCGATGTTTCTAGCTCTCTATCTCTCTCCCTTTCTCTCTGTAAAAAATCAATAAAATATATTTTTTTTAAAAAAGAGTCTACCTTGGCTTAGTTCTGGTACTTATTATTCAAGCTGCTTGCAGTTCTATTACAATCTGCTTTTTCTCCCTTCAGTACCAGTGGTACAAATTTCCGGTTCCTCATGCTTCTTCATGCACACCCATTCAGAGGTTAGGTGCTCGTGTTTAAGAAGAAAAACAACACAAAAAATTATTCAAAAAACATGCAACTGAATAGACATTTATCTTGTGACACAAAGTACTTCATTTTTAATGTAATTCTGGAGGATGAATGATTTAGGTTAATTAAAAGCTGTGTTCCCCAAATAAAAGCTGAAAGACAAAACTTTGCTGTATATAATCAACACTGTGTGTGTTTGTGAAATGATTTCGAGCTGAGATCTTTGGTTTGCTATGAAACAATGGGAGCTGAGAGAGTGTTGACCTGGCTGGAGTAGCAAAACAGTCCTATAAGGGAATGGTGATGTGATGAGTCCAGCCCATGAAATTAAGCCACTATTGCCTGTTTCTAGATGAAATGTATCTTCCCAGACTGTTATCCATTTGGGAATATTTCTTTCCTTTAGGAATACCTGGAAATAGAAAACTCCTACAGCCAAACTCATGCTGTTGTCCTCTAATGCCAGGGGTGGGGAGCACCCTTCCCACAGGCCATAAAACACCAGAGAAATCATTTGTTCTGGCCAAATATAGCAGACTCATATTTAAGTTGATAATTTTGTATGGCCTGCCAATGATGTTATAAATATTCAAATGGCCTTTGGCAGAAAAAAGGTTCCCCATCCCTGTTCTATGCAAACCTAAGTGGGTTTCTATCTGCTTGATAAGCTTGTCACAGGATGCCATGAGCTTTATTTTATCTTTTCCACCAGGCGTTCTCCATTGACATCACTTTCTACCAGACCTGGTATGATGAACGCCTCCGTTTCAATGGAAGCTTTGAGAGCTTTGTTCTGAATGGCAACATGATGAGCCAGTTATGGATCCCAGACACCTTTTTTAGGAATTCTAAGAAGATCCGTGTGTATTCGATCACCATGCACAGCAAGGTGGTCCGCATCCACAAGGATGGCAAGGTGTTGTACACAGATAGGTATGTCAAACCTCTGGAATCTCAATCCTTGGGACTCTTCCTCCCCTTTTGAGACTTTTTTGCCAAAGAAACAAGGACAGAGGCTTCATCTTCAATGATACTTCTAAGGGCCTTTCCAAACTTTCTGAGACCATGAGCTCAACCCTCTCATGTATAGACACAGACACTAAGTCCTCAAAATAGAAAGATGGTACTTAAGACCACACCAAGTTTCTGGCAGAGCTGGAACTGGTACCCATTTACTAGGCTCCAAGTCCAGAGCTCCCCTACTAGAATGTATCAGTATGACTGCATTGCCTGGACAATTCCATCCAGAGAGGGCACTGGATGTAAGGACACATTCATAGTGGTGGAATTGTTAGGTGGAGCAGTAACACAGTGGTCAGAAAGATAGCAAAGACCAGGTTGGGTACCTGAATGCCTGGCAGGGGAAGGTTGTAAATGGCTGGTGTAGGGGGTGGAGAGGTGATAGAGTGGGAAAGTGTTGGCAGTTTCTGGAAGCTGGGATGGGCAAGAAACAAAAGCCCATCTATGTCAGTCCTTACAGTTTTCTGATGATGGAGACCAGAGTAGCCAGATACTTCCAAGCTGTTCTTCCTCTCTTTTTGTCTTTCCTTTGAGCCCTTTGACTCAAATCCCACTGTTGCCATTCATTGGTGGTGATCCTTGGGCCCAAGTTGAGTGTATATGTAAGTGTTCAGAGCCAGCCTAATGAGGCTTCTTTCTCCCTTCCAGGATGACCATTGATGCTGGATGTTCATTCCACATGCTCAAATTTCCAATGGATTCTCACTCTTGCCCTCTGTCTTTTTCTAGCTGTGAGTACCTTCTTAGGTTTCTGGGGCCCCAGAGTCATACTGGGATCCTCCTTTTTCTCATCTTTGCCTTTTATATTTCTCCTAAGTTGGTGCCAGGGTTGCCCAGGACCACCCAATCCATGCTCATCTCCTTTCCTGCTGACAATACTGTGTTGCTCAATCTGCGTCTCATGTTGGGTTCTTTTCTCTCCCTTTCACTCCATCTCAAGTCTGTTATCCACCACTGAAGTGTATCTCATGTATGTCTGTTCCTTTCCATCTCCACTGTCACTAACTTGGATAGGTCTTTGTCATCTTCCATTTGGACTTTTGCAACATCTTCACTTTGAAGCTGAACATGTCCAAAACTAAATATATAGTCTACTCCCAACCTCTACCCCCAAACTAAATGTGCTTCTTCTGTGTTCTCACCCATCTCGTTGAAATACATCATCACCCACTAAGTTGTTCTAGCCAAGAACTTTGATGCTTCTTTCTTCTTCACCTGCTACATCTAATCAATTTCATGGTGTTGATATTCCCTTCCAAATCGCTATTGATCCTGTCTGTCCCTCTGCATTTTCACTGCCACAGCTTTGAATACTGCCTTCATTCATTTTATTATGCCTGGATTACTGCACTGGCCTCCCATAACTGGTATACCTGTCAACAGGCTATCTTCATATTATGACCAGAGTGACCTAGCTGAAGAATCATTTAGACCAAGTCATTTCTTAGTTTCAAATCCTTCCTTATCTCTCATGTACCAATTCCAAATCATTACAATATTCCTCAAGGCCCACCACAAATTGGTCCCTAATACCTACCCTTGTATACTTCATTTAACGTCTGTTAGCTATCCATCCTGAACTTTTAGCATTTCCTAATACATAAGATATGTTTATCTCTCTGTGCATAGAACACCCTCCTCACCCTTTCAGCATCATACATATAGAGAAAACTGACTCAACTTTAAAGACTTATTGGGAATGTCACCTACTCTAAGAAGTCTTTTCTGGATATATCCCTAAGTGATCTTTCCTCCTCTATCTCTCTACTGTCCAAGGGCAGAGGTTTCTCAGAACAATTTTATGAATTACAGATGTATACTCACTGTCCAACTCAATAAAATGTGAATGCTTGAGGGGCAGGGTTCCTGCCTTGTTCATCTATGTATTTCCAGAACAAGGCCTGGTACTGAAGAATGCTCAATAAATGCACTTATTGAATGGACTTCAACAATGAGGTAAGAGAGGCAAGGTGCCACACTGGTGAGGCCAGAGTCAGGACTCCAAAGCATTGTTCAGACTCCATGCTGGTGGAGACCTCCACAAGGCTTCCCAGTCTCACATGACTCTCCTTCCCATATTGCTTTACAGTTTCCTATCCTGAGAATGAGATAATGTACAAGTGGAAAGATTTCAAGCTTGAAATCAATGAGAATAATTCCTGGAAGCTCTTACAGTTTGATTTTATAGGAGTGAGCAATGAGACCGAAATTATCTCAACCATGGCGGGTAAGTGCCCCCTTTGGAACCAGGGCTAAGCAGAGGCCTAGGAGGGTGGTAGGGATGAGTGGAGGTAGCCATCATTCATACAAATGCTATGTAATCATCCCATGGAAATATTGTAGAACATGGCTCCTGTCTTGTTAATGCTAAGCACTTACAACTGTTTGCAGAGGAAACTGAGACTTTGTAACTACATCTCAGTCTCATCTGCAAAGAAGTAAGTGCTTTGCCAAATCCCCGCACAGGGTAAGTAGATAAAGTTGTATTGTCAGAATTTGCAACTAGCTTTGTCATGCAGACCCTTCAGTTTTAAGTCTTTGTTACAACTGACCTACTTGAATGACTATGAGGAATGTAGCTCATGTGAGTTCTCCATACCCAGAACCAATCCAAGCCAGCTGAGTGAGAAGCAAAGACTTTCCTAACAGGAGATGGAAGCTAGAGTTCTAATGTCAACCAAGTGAGGTCTGGGGTAGTATGGAGGAAGTTTCAGCAGCTACAATGGCTGCTGCATCAACATTTATTTTAAAGGAGCAGCTCTGACAAGCACAGATTTCTGTCAAAGGCTTCATTATAAATTCAACATGGGTATGTAGTGACCACTGGCTTTCTGATCTTGTTCCTAAAAGGACCAGATGGGAGGGTCCTGGGTCTCATACTTCAGCTTCCAACTAGGTGTGAGCATCTTTGCTTGTGTTCCTAGGTGATCTGAATAAGGAGCCAAGGGACCTCCTCAGGGTTGCTCCCAGAGCAGCCCTGGAAATCCTCTTCACACATACTGGCCAAGTCAGGGCAGTGGAGGCACTGCTCTCATCGTCTCCAGAATGCGGATGAAGCCATTCACCAAATCAACCATTTGCCATGGGAGGCATCTTGCTTTGTGTCCATGAGGCTAGGCAGGAAATATGCTCTTGCTTTACTTGTTGAGTGACTGGGTGAGGGATATCTCATGCTCATCTGGCTAGAGCTTTGCTTGCACAGTACTAGGTAGGGGGAGAGGTCTGCTTTACCAATGCTTTCCTTTTTCTTGGGAATTCTGGGTAAGCAGTTTTACTACTTTTGATTTGGAATCCTTGATCTTCTGTCAGCTAACCATGGGCCTGCCTCTTGCTTTTCTGCATCTCAGTTTCCCCAAACAGGTAGGACCCATCATCAAAAGTGGCAGAGGAGACAAGGCCCAGGGGCTTTCAAGTCACTAGTGGTTCCGTTTAGTAGATGGTTGTGCATTGTTTCAAAATGGTACCCTAGTGACTACAAAGCCCCAGAGCCAGCATCATCACTAAAGCAATGGCAATAGGTAAGCACCAGTCTTCCCTGGGAGAGATAAGGGTTTTTATGGAGAAAAAAAAGGAGGGCTTCTTTTTCTTCTGTTAGAGACTAATTGATTTGGAATCATGGTTTCTCCAGTATCACAGTTATCTTTGGGACTGATCCCAAACTCTTCCACTTCCAGTCGCCTCAAGGGCAGTCTCTCCATAAGTAGCAAACTTAAGTACTAAGATCCTAAAGGTTCAGAAAGCAATGGTAGCTTGCTACTCTGGCTACCTTTTGTGTAGAGCGAGAAGGTTCTCAGAGAGTCCATCCTTGACTCCAGTGAGTAAGCCAGCCTTCACTGGTGGCTGTTGAGACTCTGATGGAATTTTACCTATGATTAGGACTTTGCTTTCTTTTCTTTTTTAAAATTTGTCTTTATTGTTGATAGTATTACAGATGTCCCCTTAGTTTTTGTTTTTTCCCCATTGAGTTCCTCCACCAGGCACCTACTCCTCCTAGGCCTTCACCACACTATTGTCTGTGTCCATGGGCTAAGCATATATTCATATAAGTTTCCCAGTTAATCTCCCCCTACCCACCTACCCACCCCTGCCTTAGGACCTCACTTTCTTGAGAGTTTCTTCCTTCTGTAGATAATTCCGTACATCAGAAAACTCTCCCTGTTCATCTGAAATTGGAGTCTTTGGAACTTCCACCCATCGGATCTAGTTCTTTCCCCCTAAAATTATTGAGCTTACAGTAAGTCCAGTCACTTTCCAACAAGGTAAAGATTAAAGGGTCAGTATTATGGTTGCAGCCCTGGGTCATATTCTTGTATAGACTATACAACATTAGTTCCTTTTTCTTCCCTTGTTACTCAGAGTTTTGGGTCCACTCATCCTTCTAGTCTCAGTCCTCTGGACACAGTCTTTTAAATTGTGCCCCCCTGACAGTGCAGTGACCAACTGGGGGTCTGACCAAAGCAGATAAGAAGACAAGAGCAGAGAACACCTCTGCCTTTTTTTTTTTTTTTGGCTTGGTTCCTTAGCCCTAGGTATTTCCATCCTGTTTCCCCCTTACTCATTCTCCTGCATTCCTCAGAAATAACAAAAGTGGTGTGTGTTAGCATCCTTCTATCAGCTTTCAAAGATAAATTTCTGTTGATAAGTGAAGAAGGTTCGTCTTTGGCTGGAATAAATAAAATAAAAATAGTAAAAGCCAATAAGATAATAAATCTTCTTGCAATAAGTACACACTGAACAAACTTTTGTGTGAGTGGTTGTAGCTAAATAGGGTTGTGCTAAATTTTAGTCAAGACCCCAGGACAACTTGATAAATTGGAACTAGGAACTTGATAAATACATTCTGGCCAGAGACAAGTGTGAGTGGTCCCTGCAGCAACCCTGGAGTTCTATCCCCAACACTACTAGTCCGGACACAAGCATTCCACTAACCCCAAGATATGTCCTTGCCTTTTTCCAGAATATTCTGTGAAATCTTGTCCATTGTCAGTGCTGCCAAGGTGAGTAGGAAAGGGTGTTGTTCTCACTCAGCTCCAACACACTTAGACTGGAAAGGTGATCTACTTTTCAAAATTGGAGGAAAAATGGCCAAGTTAGTGTTCTGGTCTGCTTCACAAGGCATTGTGAGGCAGCAGCAAGACTTGCTGAGCATGTGCTAGGTTCCAGGCTGTGCCAGGCTTAGATGATGGGCAGGATCAAAGCCACAGGGGTGCTCTGAAAAGGGTTTGAAAGGGGTTTCAAGGCCAAGGAATTCTATAGTATCACTGAGGTGGGAGTTTGGAGCTTAGCTTCACTAAAGAGCCAACATTTGAGCTATTATACATCCAATGTGAAGTTGAGAAATAAAGGGATATTTTGGCTTCAGAAAAGCCCCCAAAATTTCTGGAGTCACGGTGGGCATGCAGTGTTTGAGATGAATGTGTCATAGTAGAGGGCAGCATGAAGGGTACAATAGAAAATACCAATTGGAGAGGTAGGTTGTCATTAGGTCCTATTGAAGTCATCAACCATCTAGGGCAGTGGTTCTCAACCTTCCTAATGCTGTGACCCTTTAATACAGTTCCTCATGTTGTGGTGACCCCCAACCATAAAATTATTTCCGTTGCTACTTCATAACTGTAATTTTGCTACTGTTATGAATCATAATGTAAATATCTGATATGCAGGATGTATTTAGGCGACCCCTGTGAAAAGGTCATTCGACCCCCAAAGGGGTCGCGACCCACAGGTTGAGAACCGCTGATCTAGGGAGAGAGCCAACATCAAGGACATGATACCCAAATGAATGTCAAGACCTCAGCCGCCTGTGTGTGTATACTCTGCATACCTGACATCTAGAGGACTAAATAAAAATTTCACTTTCAGCTAATTCTTGTTTTTCCAAAACACTCAATTTGGGTTATGGTACTAGATTAAGAACAGGGAGTCCAGGGTTAGAATATTGGTATAAATATGCAAGCTATTGCAGGGAATCTGAGAATAGATAGGATTAACTTAGGGTATGGTGGTGTGTGCATATGCGTGTAAGATGTTAGTTGGAGTCAGTCCATGGTAGGTCTTTGGTGTCAGGTACATAGTGTAAACTTGATTCTATAGCTCTTTTAGAGCAGGGAACCACCAGAGGTTTGGGATTAGGCTAGTGATTTTTTTTTGGCCATTGTTGGAACAGTGCTAAGGCATTTCACCAGCATATGAATGTATGGAAGGAGGCCTAATGGATTATGTGCTTCCCCCACCACCTCACAGACCACCCTTGGCACTTTTTCTGAGAATACATATTGTAAGGGCTAGTAGTGCATGTGTAAAGCTGTGATTCTGCAGAGTAGATGTGGCAAATCAGTGGACATAAAGGCCTCAGTAAGACATCTGGACATTAGCTGTGTGGTCCTAATATCTAGAGAGCTAGCTGATTTTTCACTTTCATCTGACTCTTCTGCCATCCTGGAAAGGCAGATGTAGGGTGTGGGACAGTGAACTGAGAAAGAAGCAATTAAAGTTCTTCTCCTGGCTTAGCTCTTAACTGACCATGGCTCTTGCAAGGTGTCTCCTTTCTGGGCTTCTGATTCTCTGTAGGTGGCACTGGAATAATATGCCTCTAACCTAGGACTGTGGTGGGGATCCCATGGGCTGAATAATGGGACCTTTAATATGCATGTCCTGCCTGGGGAAGACCCTTATGTCATTGCTGTAATAAAGTGGTATTTTTTATGTTTTCCAGGTGATTTCATGGTCATCACGCTTTTCTTCAATGTAAGCAGGCGATTCGGCTTTAATGCTGTTCAAAACTATGTCCCTTCTTCTATGACCACAGTCATGTCCTGGATTTCCTTTTGGATCAAGAAAGAATCTTCTCCAGCCAGGACCTCTTTAGGTGAGTAGGTAAGGTGGGTATCCACCTGGGCACAGAATTGCCTTCTCAGGGATCCTTTCAGCAGTGTGATATATGGATACATAGCTAAGCCTACCTCCACTCCTGTGTTTTAACAGGCATCACCTCTGTACTCACCATAACCACATTGGGTTCCTGTTCCCAGAAGAATTTCCCACGTGAATCCTATATAACAGCCTTGGATGTCTACTTTGCTATTTGCTTCCTCTTTTGCGTTTTTGCTCTGGTGGAGTTTGCTGTGCTTAACTTCCTGATCCACAACCACACGAGACCCCGTGCTTCTCCGAGACTTCGCTATGTATGAACTGGGTATGGGCGTGGTAGCATGGTTTGGGAGTATTGAAGCATGCAAGTAAGGGCACTAGAATTCATGGCACATGAGTAGCCAGCTCACTGTGTAGTGTGTGTGTGTGTGTGTGTGGGGGGGGGGTAAGCTGAAGTGTTATGGGGAGTTGAATAAACTTTCTAATGTGGTGGTGGGAATTTGGGGAAGGGGCAAAAAAAGTGTGCCAAGGACAGAATCTCTAGAAACCCCTGAGTCTTGGTTCATCTTTACTTTTTCCCCTTCCTTGTTCATTTCAGCCTCCTACCCGTGCCCGTGCCCGTGCCCGTGCCCGTGACCTTACCCCACCCCGTACCCATGCCAACCAACAGCAGCAGGAAAATGTTTTTGTGTATGACTTCGAGGGGACTGATGAGGAGAATGATGAAGAAGATGGCCCATCTTGCCCAGCTCAGCAGTCCCTCAACCCAAGACTCACCCAGCGCCGTCGCAGCTGCTGCAGGATCTGCAAGTACTTGTGTGTGGTCCGCAGTTGTGATGGCAGTTTTTGGCAGCAGGGCCGCCTCTTCATCCACATCTACCGCCTGGATAACTACTCACGAGTTATTTTCCCAGTGACCTTCATCTTTTTCAATGTGCTCTACTGGGTTATTTGCTTTAACTTGTAGGTACCAGCTGGTACCCTGTGCGGCAGCCTCCCAAGTTCCCCAGGAGGTCCCACACCCCTTACCAAGGGAGTTGGGGGAAAGCAGCAGCAGGAGCAATTAGAAAGTGTCTTTCCTCCCCCCACCCGCAGCCCATTCAATGAATACCCATGGCAGCCCATTTAGAGTAAAATGGCTCACCTCTTTATTCCTCAAGGGGCATTGGTGATGTTCAGGCTTAAAAATTGCAGGCTGTCAGTGACCAGCTCCCTAAGACCATGCCCGTGTATGAGCATATTAGCTATCTCCCAACAGTGTTGACAAACACTGCTTTTTTCAAGAATCCTAATACTGCCTTTGTGGTGCTCCAGGCCCAGATATGGCCTCAGCCTCAAAGTGCACCGACCAGCTGCTTCCCTGTTTCTGACACTTCCTTAAGATACTGGTCAGCAGTGTAATAAGGTGTGTGTGTATCCTCCATCCTTAGGTGAGATTATTATATTATTGGTTTGATTTCCCTGCCCACCCTTTCCCTGCAGATAGAGCCTGACATTATCCCTTTAAAAGGAGAGCCAACACTTGAGCTTCTTTAGGACAGTATCCCCCCCTCTGCTGCTGTGATGCCTCCCTCTCCCTCTCCTACCCCTGCCTCTATCATTCATCTGCACTACCAATTCAATGCCTTTCATACAGTGGGTTTATATTTTTGTGTGATAATAGTAATAACCCCCTGCTTTATATGCCACCTTCTCCCTCCTCCTTGACCGCTGTGACTCTTAATGTAACTACCCCAGTGACTTTCCCAGCCCCAACCCAGGTGCTAGGCCATGGTGACTTCCCAGGGCCAAGAAATGAAGGGAACTCTGCTTTGCAGTGGGCATTGCTTGCATTGATTGGTGCCCTCTACGGCACAGCATAGACGTTCTGCCACTTCCTTGGCCCCTGGATCCATGAGCCAGTCCACTCTTATCCCTGGGGCACTCTCACAATCACAATCAATCAATTGAATTCCCTTAAATTTATACAGCACTTTACCTTTTTGCAAAAACACTTTTGAAAAACTATTCTATTATAGCCTTATTGTAGCCCTGTGAAAGATTCGGGGCAGGATTCTTATCCCCATTTTGCAGATGAGAACCCTGAGGCACAGATTTCTATGGGACTGTGGATCTCACTGGAAACTACCCAGGAGCCCACTGTCATTTTCTAGAGTACATGATAGGGCTAGGCATCTGTGTTCACCATGATTCAATTCTATAGCCTCTGCTGGCACCCCAGTGGCAGGGCCCAGAGTAGCAGCCTATCTTCAGCTTTGGTCTACTCAATTCCTGGGCCTCAGGTGCTCAGACTGCCCTCAAGATCCAACCCTCTCCTGGCTCTGAGAACCCAGTGAGGTCAAATTTGGACATGCCCCAATGCTTGTATATGCTGAATGAAATCTGTGTCTGTATTTTATTGGGGGGGGTAGGGTAGGGGTTCCATCTGCTTTTTGTCACCATCACCTGAAAAGGGGAAATATATCAATAAATATATCAGCAAAACATACAACGTGTGACTGGTTTCTCACTCAAGTTTGTTCTCAGCTCAGGTTTTAAATCTTAATGATCCAACCTTTTGACTGTTTCACTCTCTCATCCATGATCTACAGACCTACAAAGCATGCATATGAACCTGCTCTCAGTGCAAGAGTGAAAGAGAGAGACTTAATAGATAGCCCCTTTATTGATCTTTTTACTTGCTTCTATACCTCTAAATAGAAGCCTTATACCTCTCCATGTCCATTTTGTTTCGCCCATCATTCTAGCCTCACCTAGAATGTTCCTACAGACCATCAAACTCAGAACATTTTCCCTACCATGTAAAGAGGGAGATGCCTAGGCACAGAGAAAAGTGTTTACAGTCATACAACTATTGAGTAATGGAGAGGGATGAGACCCCAGAAATCCCAATATCCTGTTTTGGCTTGGAGTAAGCCTGGAGATCTTGGTTGATACATCCTTCAAATGAAATGTCTCTAAAGATATATTAGGAAGTGTTGGTCCTAGCATCCTGTGACACATCCAGCTCTAAGGAAACACAGAAACAATAACAAGAACTGAAGAGACAAATGGCATCTCAACAGCCAACATTTTTGCAATAAAGTTTGTGAAATAATGCTGAAACACCTTCCCTATAAGAATTCCACATGTCCTACTGTGGATGTCCTAACCCACCACAACTTACAAGTAACAATTTAGAAGAAGGTAAATAGCTCTTCATTTTTACTTACATTACAATGAAGCTGGGAGAAAACAAAAGTTAGCCTGGCTCTTGAGCAATGAAGACATGCAAATTTGTGAGCACTCATATTTAAATGCATTTTAAAACAAAGAATTAGTACAAATGGGATACCTTAGTCACAGTGCAATAAAGCTAAGAACAAAGAAAATTCCCACCATTTGTACAATTTTAAAAAGCTCATGCAAACAGTAATTTAAAAAATGAAGAAATGGAGAAAGATAAATATCACATTATCTCACTCATTTGTGGAATATAATGAACAACATAAACTGATGAACAAAAACAGATCCTGAGACAGAGAAGCATCGATCAGACCATCAAACCTCAGATGGAAAGCAGGGGAGGGCGGGGGTAAGGGGTAGAGATCAACCAAAGGACTTGTGTGCATGCCTATAAGCCTAACCAATGGACACAGACACCAGGAGGGTGAGGGCATGAGTGAGGGGGTGGGGGGATAATGGGGGGATAAGGACATATATACAATACCTTAATCAATTAAAAAAAAGTTCTCAAGAAAAAAATTATTAACCAATGTCACCCCAATAAATTCAATAGAATTTTTTTTTAAATGAAGAAATTGCCAAATAGGTCCAGAGACATGGAAGCATGGAACAGAGGACAGATCTCAGAGGGATGAGTGTGGCTGGGAGAGATTAACCAAATAACTTGTATGCATATATGCATAGCCCATGGACACAGACAATAGGGTGATGAAGGCCTGAGGTTGGGAAGGAGCCCAGTGGAAGGGGACAATGAGGGAAAAGATGGGGGACATCTGTATTACTCTCAATAATAAAGATAAATTTCAAAAAATAAAGAAATTCAAAACATAATTGGGGGCATAATATCTAAAATTAATAAAAAAACTAAATATTAAAACACATCAGATGCAGCTAACACTGCAATTAGAGAAAATTAATAATTTAAGCATTTCAATTACTAAACACAATGGAAGAAAAATGAGTTAAGTATTAACTTGGAGTTAAGTAGAAATTGGAAAAAATAATAAAAGCAGATTATACTTTAGAAAAGTTTTGGGGAAAGATTCATTTTAAAAATAAATAGTGTAGAGAAAGCTAGTTAATCATGTAGAAAAACAATAAAAAGACTGTCTCTACTTCTCTCTTTACATTGAAATTACAGATCAATTAAAGATTTACAAACTTTTTAAGAAAATCATAAGACAATATAGGTGAAAATGTTTATATTTTGGGGATGGAAAATAAAACACCAGAAGCTATACAAATATTGAAAATTGTGTCCCTTTTAAGAATGAATAATAAAAGCAAAAAAATGTATAGAAAAACACACTGTCACTGGTTAGTTTTTCTCTGCTGCAGTCTCTGAGACTGAGATTAGCATGCAGGGGATTGACTGGGGATTCCTCTTAGGGTCAATGCCTGTGGGAGAAGAGATTGGCTTGCAATGCATTCACAATAAGGGCCTCATCTGAACACATGGGGAGTTCTGAGATTGGGTTGGGCCTTCTGAATTTTTACATATCAGGGAAAAGGGGCTGGGCTGGTATACTCTTGCACTGACCAGTCACTAAATGCCAGTATGAACTTGAGACAAAAACTTGTGTATGTGTGGAGAACCCCTCAACTATCATTCTCCAACAATCTTAGCAGCTGGAAAAACAAAGAGCTTCTATGCCAATAATACTAACTTTCATTTCTTGGAGGAATTTCTGAGAAGGTCAAATTTGCCTAAAATTCTCCAACTTTTTCAATGACTACCATGTGACAGGAGATTTCAAATTCAGGATCACGTGTAATTTCCATAGGATCCTGTAAATATCAGTTGAGTGGGTTTGCTATCTTCCCTCAATAACTCTTTTTTACACTTCCCTTTGAGATAACCTATATAATCTCAGTTGGCTGAGAATTATCTCTTTCTTTTTGATGCATGACCAAAATCTTGTGAGGTTCTGCTACACTCTACATGACTGAACATACCTGAACACCTATACAGGTGCCATCAAGTACACTGAAAATGATTATTTTCCTGGGGTACAGACACACAGACATGAAACAGTGGGGCGGGGGGGAAAGATAATTATTTTTTTAATTTGTAATTAGGATGAGCATGTCTACATAGAAACCATTTTTCACCTACAAGGGGGCTCCAAGTTTGGGGGAATTTAGCCTCCGTAGATATTTGCTCCACAGTGATTTCCATGGTCTTCCTGAATCTACCACTTATGAAGGAGGAATTGGGATTTGACCCCCTAGGTAAGCTGATCCATCCATGTATGTGTTCAGTGGCGATTTTCAAATAACACACCCCATTAAACTCCTGCTGTAAACAGCAGGTATTCTAAAAAACCTTCTTTCTAACTTCAGGGTGACATCCCCAAATTGGTAGATTATGGGCCCAATCATACTGTACTCATTGATTCATTTGGAAAGCATGTTAAGAATGTGCTGAAGACATCCAGCAGGATGTCCGAGTATCTAAAGGTCACTGTTCAAATTCAAAGAGATTTTTCCATCAGAGCAGTTCCAGGGTGAAGGATGGATGATCAGTACTTCAGCAGGGAGTAGAAATGTTCTAAGCTGGGGGCAGTGGGGGTGTAGGGGAGAGGTAGGATATTTGGGGCTGTTCCACTGTGAGTGGCCGCAGCCTTCAGAGGAGGCAACAGTGAGAAGCTGGTCAACAGGCCAGAATCCAGGGATGGACAGGAGGCCACACAGGGGAAGCCCAAGGGAAGGGTGCTGTCATGTGGAAAAATGCATGGACTGGACAGAAATGCCAGCATCTCAGCTTTCAAGGGACCCTGGGACGTGGGCAGGAGGAACCTTGGTAAATAAAGGCCACAGACAGTACCCAGATTGTGTTTGATTCACACTGTCACCTTCCTTCCTTAGGCCTGCTTTTAGTGCCTTGGCCCCAGGGTCCCTCTTTTTATTGCCTGAGAGACATCATGCAGTACTGAGAAGAAAAATGATTTATGAGTCAGAAGGTTAGGCACAGTCTGGGATGGGTGGGAACAGCGTGGACTTTAGAAGAATTCAGACCAGGGATCCAATCTCTGCCCTGTCACTTCTAGCTATGTGATCCTGGGGATATTAGCTGTCCCTAAGAGCCCCAGGTTCTTCATCTGTGAAGTAGGTGGGTTTGATAAGCCCTGTCTCGTAAGACTACAGGAATGTATGGAGTGTTTGTAAAGCACCTCCCACAGTGCTTGGTGGAGATTGGAAGCGTGATGAATGGCAGTTATTTTTAATATTATATTATCTCCAATCCCTACAACTCTATACTCTGGAAAGTGTGTGTGTGTGTGTGTGTGTGTGTGTGTGTGTGTGTGTGTGTGTGTGTGTTTGAATTTATTTTTATTGTTGAGGGTATTACAGATAAACCCATTTCCCCCCCACTTTGACCCTATCTACCTAGCTCCCTACCCCAGGCTTCACTGCACTATTGTCTGTGTTCATGGGTTATAGCATATATGCATTCAAATTCTCTGGTTTATCTCTTCCCACCACCCCTCTCCCTTTCCTCTGAGGTCTGTCTGTCTGTTCCATGCTTCTATGTCTCTGGACCCATTTGTTTCTCAGTTTCTTTTGTTCATTAGATTGCACATATAAGTGAGATCATGTGGTATTTGTCTCTTTTTAACTGGTTTATTCTACTTAGCATAATACTCTCCAGGTCCCTCTGTGCTGTTTCAAAGGGTAAGAGACCTTTCTTTTTCACAGCCAGGTCTTATTCCATGTTGTAAATGTACCAGTTTCTTTATCCACTCATGTACTGATAGGCACTTGGGCTGTTTCCAAATCTTAGCTGCTGTAAATAGTGCTGCTAATAACTTAGGAGTACAAATATTCTTTCTGATTGGTGTTCAGGATTCTTAGGATATATTCCTAGATGTGGGATTTTAGAGTCAAATGGCAGTTCCATTTTTAATATTTCGAGGAAACTCCATACTGTTTTTCACAGTGTCTGCTCCAGTCTGCATTCCCACCAGCAGTGTATTAGGGTTCCCTTTTCCCCACATCCTCACCAGCACTTGCTGTTTGTTGATTTATAGATGGTTGCAATTCTGGCAGGTGTGAGGTGATACCTTATTGTCACTTTAATTTGCATCTCTCCCATGATTAGTGACATTGAGCATTTTTTCCATATGTTTCTTGGCCATCTGTATGCCCTCTTTGGGGAAGTGTATACCCAGGTCTTTTACCCATTTTTAAATGGATTGCTTATCTTCCTTTTGTTGAGTTCTTTATATACTTGTTTTTTATGCATTAATATGA